CCCCTCTAGAACCCTCAGTTTGTTTTTCAGAGTCCATCGTCTCTAATGGTTCGTCTCCCCCTCCGACTTACTCCCCTTCATTCCAAACTGTCTTTTTGAAAAGTGATCTGCATCATTTTAACGAAGCCTAGTGGGATGGACAGATTTTCTTAAGTTAAAAAGCCTTCATCCATATCACATTTGTCATCCACTCACCTTCTAAATCTACATAATATCCTATCCTGCTTAAGACATATTTAGGTCAAATAGATATTAGGAGGAAGATTTTTTTTTTAACTATTTGAACTTAAAATGACTATGAGTGTTAAACATTTAAGAACCCAATCTGAATGTACTTGAAAAGTTGTAGTAGTGGGTGTTGTTCTTCAGTTTTACTACCTTATGCTCTTTGCTTCCTATCAATGCCTTTTCACAAGATTCTGGATTTGGTTAGATTAAAAACATGTAAGTATTGTGGGGGGACAGGATAGGGGGTTAAGGAAACACAGATTATGGTCGTGGATATACTGCAGAATTGGAGTCATCCTGGACAAGTAACTTAGACTCTCTGGGCTTAAATTTTATAATATCTGTGAAAACAGAAAATCAACCAGATACTATTTTTTTCCACAGTAAAATAAATACTTATTTCACTTTACAATGTAAACCCATCTCTAAGTCATGATGGAGGCATTCTCTGGGAAGGTGGGGAATTTTGCCATTTAAAGAACAATGGCAAAAATCCTATTTGAACATTAATCTCTACTATGGGGATTATTTAATCATTTATTTTGTCACTCTATTTTGTTGAAAATTGTATAAGGTCCGCCTGCCAACTGCAGGCTTCATTCATTTGATGTCCATGAACGCAATGCGCCACAGAAAACTTGACACTCTATTTGCTTGATTCCCTAGCCTCCCATCACTTCCTTCTGGTCCCTTTTGGTATTAGAAACACTTCATGTTTTATCTCAGCATTCCGGTTACCCTGTCCCCCAGATGAGATCATTACCCAAGGGCCTAAGGTAATGGCTCTCCCACCTCCTTCCACCTGGGCCCCCAAGCAAGTGTCAGGTTCCTCTTCATATATTTAAAACAAAACAAAACAAACAAACAACAAAAAAAACAGTGCATGTTACAGTGGTTAAGCAACATTTAACTTTACATCAACAGATACCCGATGTTTCAGGACCTAAAAACAAGCATATTTTGTTTAACGCAATACACAAAGCCATTTTCATGCATTAAGATTATAGAGACTCAAAATTAAAATGTAATGTAATTTCTTAAAGCACTTGACCATTCTCCATTCACATGCTGGACCTTGCTAGGGATTTGAGGGTTAGCGTCAAGGGATCGTGATTTGGATAGGATCCGTGGTGTAGGCTTGATGGGTGTGAGGGAGAGTGATGGCCTCCTTCCCTATCGGCCTTCACAGCCCCAGGCTGTATGACTTGAGGTCAGTTTCTTAACCTCTGGTGCCTCAGTACCCTCATCCATGCAAGTGGAGGTAAGACTGACTCACAGGATTGCCGTACCTGTTGAAGTATTTGTTATTACATGTGAAGCGCATAGAACATTCCCCAGCATATGAGCGCTGTGTAAGCGATGGCCCTGGTTATTACGTGAACACTTTGAATACAGATTTGCCTCTCATTCCTCGGTTCAGTCTAGTTTGGTGGGTGCCAAAATGTAGTGCACACAAGCGTTACTGTATCTGGTTGCATTCAGTAATTTTCAAGGGTAATTGTCATGTTTGTGTGTATTCATTTTGTGCTGACCCTATAATATTTTATAGGTATACAATAGATGAGACTTTATTATATAAAATAGGTCTGAACACAGTCCTAGGTCTGTGCTAGGATATTGAGTAGAGTGGTTTAAACAGTTGCATTACTTTTCCTGGTTGATGCTGAAGTCAGTTTCTTGATCCCTCCAAAATGAGTTGACTTCCCTATAATTGTCTTCTGTTCTTTTCCTATCTTCCGCATATGTATTTTGCCTTTGAAGATTAGTTTACAGTTTTGTTAAGTGACGATAGTGATGCTTGTCTTTTACACTGTGCTGGAGAACTGGAATTAATATATGTTCATTATCATTAAAAGGATAGTGCATACAGGAGGCATTCCATAATTGGTGGATCTTGTTATTTCCCTAGTAGAATTGACCCATTAACTTTGTGGTGTATATCATTTTGTGTGTCACAGACTTTATTCCCTCCGTTCTTTGAATATCTGCTTTTTCCAGATACAGTTCTAGGTGTTGGGAACTATAGAGGTGAACAAGGTGGGAGAGGTCCCTGCTCTCAGAGTTTATATCATTATCTGATGTGTTTCTTACTAATGTATCTAGAGTGAATGTTTGAATTCATTTTTATTTAGTTCCTTTTAGATAGTTTCAATGTACTATTGACTATGTTGTTATTGCAACAACTCGGTAGAGGATTTACCCTGATAACTGTGTTTTTCCCCACAGCTCTTTCAAGCATTTGATTGGAGGACTGGATGATGTTTCCAATAAAGCGTATGAGGATGCAGAAGCTAAAGCAAAGTAAGTGACATTTTTTTTCCTTTGGCCTTAGTCTTGATTTAAAGAAAATGATTTTGAAGAAAAATAAGATTACATATTTTACTGAACTTAAAAACCCCAGCACTCTGACAGGAAGAAACTAATTCCTTAAGAAGGAAAAAATAAACAAATTTCAAGGTAATGATTAAATACTATGCTTACTTAGTGTGTCTCTTCTTAAACACGAAATCATAATTTTGGAAGGAAGATCATCTCAACAAGGGAAAATGGTAAGTTTAAAATCCAATATAAATAATTGAATCCAAACACATTATTTCTTCCTTTGAAAATACTTCTGAATGAATGGTGGTGGTTGTGTTCAATAGTTGTTTGTGAAATTGTACGGAAAGTAATAAGGCTGGAAACATTTTCTAGTGCAAACACATTGTTGATTTACATTGAGCTGGAGTGGCACAAAGATAACAGAATGATGTGAAATAGTATGTATCCCATGAATTACCATTTTTGTATAATAAAATACAATTTCATCTACTAATAATACTTTAAAACAAAGCTTTCATCTTTTTGACAAAGATTAGAAATTATTTGAGATTGGCTTTTGCTGAAAAAAATTCTAGGTTATTTTTAAAAAATTGTAATCTTTAGAATCCTCCGCTCTTTTTTCCAATGAGCAAATTTAAGGAAAAGCAATTCAGTATTGATATCACACAGGACACCTGAAGGATTAAACTGACAAAAATTTATCAGTACCTAGATAGCTCAGGGATAGAATTTGGTTAGTTTTGTAGTAACCTCAAAAGCAAATAATAATAATGATAAAAGTGCTTTTGTCTTGAGAATCTAGGAAGATTAAAAATTTGGTCTAGCACTTAAAAAGTACCATAGTTCATTTCAGCTGATAAAATTCTATTATTTTAAAGCAGTCTAAATATATTCACAATTTCTTCTCTATATATTTGCTTTCGTTTCCTCTGCTCTTTGGAGGGACACAGACGTATGTCCTGAGGTCAGACGGTAGCAGAGCCTTTGCAGAGATTTGCTTAGACAATCTCATGAGCCAGTTTTAACACCAAACTCTACACAATGATGGGGATTGCTGGTACTGTGGATGATAGATATTAATTTTCTGGTTTTCTATAATAGTTTAAAATACACATTAATGCTAAGTTTAGACTTTAGTTTCTGATATTCGCACTAATCCTACTGAGATGGAAGAAGGGACCGTTTAAAATCCTTACCAGTTTTAAAAAATTATAAAACTCCCTTTGTTATTATTGGACTTTATCCCTAGAGGAACATGTGTTGTATAAGAACTCATAATTTATGTTAGCATGTTTTTTCTTAGGTATATATATACACAGTTAAGATTGTCTTGGGTCATTTCATATACATATAGATATCACATTATATACATTGTGTATATATAACTGGTGGTAATATTCAAAATTCATCTAAAATCTACATGAGCAACCGTCTAAATACTTCTTCAGTTACTAGAAAAAGTCAGAGGTCTTTTAAGCTAAAGCATTCTTTGGTCTATTTCTGCCTCCTGCTAAATTTTAGATTCTTATAATGAAAGTTTCTGCATAACTCCTATCTGCCCAAAGTTGAGTCCAGTCACAGGCTTAAAGGTGGGCAGTGCTGGGAAAGCGACTTAAATTGGCTGTCTCCTTCTCGGTGTCCCACTGGCTTTATAAAGTGAGCTGTGTGTGCATCTCATGAATTCTGGGCATTTGTGGGCTCACGTGCTCATGCCTCAACCAAAAGTAACAAGGAAAATAAATACGCTGAGGTTGAGATCAATTACAAGATAGGAAGGGTGAGGATACTTCTCACTGGAGGGGAATCAGTATGAAGAGTACGATCCTGGACGCGGGGTAGGAACCTTGGGTTCTGTTTCTGCCTCTGTCATTTCCAGCCAAGTGATCTGGGTCATGAGTTAACACTGCCTCTCAGTGCCCTTATCTTACCTTTAATAGGGTATTTCTGTGATGTAATTGATGGCAGTGTGTAGAAATACCGTGTAAATTATAAAGGACTGTAAATGATATTGTTGGTAGTAGTAATCACTGGAAGTATATCCTAGTGCATTTGATAAATTGCTTGATTCATAGATAATGACTGCATATTGATGATGTAAAACTTCCTGGGCAGGAAGTATTTACTCTGATGTACACAAACTACTCTCACTTTGGCAGCATATCCTAAAATTTAACCTAGACTGGAAAATACCCATAAATACCATTTTTGTAAAAATGGTAACATTTACTTAAAAGAAAGTTCAGGGGTTCCTGGGTGACTCAAATGAGTCCATTCATGTGTTTTAATCTACAGCCACTTGATCTGAGTATAGACTTAAAGACCCTGCACTGAGTTTCTGTAAAAGTCAGCTCAGGTCATGATCTTAGGGTCGTGAGTTCAAGCTCCGTCTTGGGCTCCATGCTGTGCATGGAGCCTACTAAAAAAAAAAAAAAAAAAAAAGTTCAGTTATGATTAACGAGCAAAGAAGGGCAATAAAATGACTACTTCCATCTAAGTGGCTTAGACTATTGTTAGTTGAGCCAAAATTTGATAGAATAGAACTTAGTTATTATATATCCATGGATATAAGTTAACTAGGAGAGATTAGTTTAAACTTTTCTAGTTCAATTAATACTAAATCCAAATGAATGCATAACCCATGTTCCTTAATACTGATTATTACTTAGAAAAGAGGAATATCTTGATGAAAAAAAATGTCTAAAACCACTGATCCAAATTCTAGAAAAATTGATAAATGTAACATTTATTCCTCAAAATAGCCAACTACATGAATATATTCTGGCAAAGGTCTTTGTTACACCCTTTACACTGTTTGCAAAAACATAAAAATACATAAAAAATAATAATATCTGAAGATTTCTGAAGTTGAAAGTGTCATTTTAATTAGGTGTCCTATCACTCACAGGTAAACTCTGAATTATTCCCCAGGCAAAGCTTTGTAGTTGAACTAACAAGTTTAAATGTCTCTTTGTGTTAACACTGTTGTCTCTTTATTAGATTTCTTCCCCTTAAGTACATTGTGCCTTCATCGTTGTATTTAAGGAGCTTCTAAGGTTTGCCATTTCAGGGCCTGTGGACATGCACTAATTGGTCGAAATTCCCTGGATAATTCTTATAAGGCCTCTACATCTCTATATAGATCACAAAATCTGTACCATTTAGAACTGAGGTGCTGATTGGCTCCATCGTGTAAGCGTTATTTTTTAAGATCTCCTTGATTTTGCGGAATCCCCTAAAGATGAGATTGGTATTTCTTAAAGCCCCACTAAAAGGATCACGTTATTTCTCCACATGAAATTATTGTTGGTGTTGTCTCACCGACGATGCCTATTTGGGTAAAAAGAGAAAAAAAGTAGGCCTGCCTGCAAACATCAATCAAGGTTTAGAAGTTCAGTTGTGAGAAACTCAGCTAGTAGCATAATCAGGCCGCAGTGGCAGGATGGTCCGCAAAAGGTACTGAGCATTGCTTGCATTCGGTGCGGGGGCTGGTCCAGGAGATTGCTGGAGAGGTATGTCCCAGGGAGGTGGTTCTGAGAACTCCTCTGTGCTGGTGTGTGCCTTCCACCTGCCTCAAAACATCTATTTCCTACAAAGAAAATTATTCTTGACGGGAACTTTACCTTTATGGCATGTTTAAGCTCCTCTTGATTGCTGCTAATTATCCACTAAGGGCTTCTCTTTCTAAAATATGAAGTTATCATCACAAAGATATTAGAAGAGACAATAGCAGATCAAAGTTAAGCATCATTAAGCCTTATTTATAGCAGAAAGTAACGTGTGGTGAAAGGTACACATTATTTCCTTTGGGAATATGTATTCTTTCAGTTAATAAACACTTAGAAATTTACTTAATAATGAGTCAGGAATTGCACTTCACAACGTGCATACCAAGTACAAAACCTGTTTTCTTTTTTTTTTTTTTTTTAAGATTTTTATTTATTTGACAGAGAAAGAGAGACACAGTGAGAGCAGGAACACAAGCAGGGGGAGTGGGAGAGGGAGAAGCACATTTCCTGCTGAGTGGGGAGCCCAATGCGGGGCTCAGTCCCAGGACTCTGGGATCATGACCTGAGCCGAAGGCAGACGCTTAACGACTGAGCCACCCAGGCACCCCAAAACCTGTTTTCTAATACTAAGCATTTTGCAGTTCTGACAGCTCTGGGAATAAAGATTCATAAGTGCATTTATTTATGGTCTAAATTGATGATTCTCAACATTGTTCTTCACAAGGAACTTTCTCATGCAAAATTTACATAAACCTGCAAATGAGTCCAGTCATATGTTTTAATCTATGACATCACTTGATCTGAATATAGATTTAAAGACCCTGCACTCTCTAGCCGCCCCCGCCCCACCCCCGCCACAGAAGCATTAACCACGTTCATTCACTTTGACTCATGCACTGATTTAGCCAACAAATATTCTCTGTGTTCCTACAAAATGCTACATATAAAGCAGTGAATAAAATAGACATATGTCTTGCCTTCATGGTGCATATGGGGAGAGAGACACACATTACTGATTCCCTGAGGAAATGACATTTTATCTAGATTTGAGCTGAATTGTAAAGAATTAGCTGGTACTGGCTAGGCAAGAATTAGTTGGTATTAGCTGGGCAAGGAAGTGCAGAGAGCATTGTAGCCGGGGAAATAGCATTTGCAAAGCCCCCTGTGTAGGAAACAAGACTGCCTCGTCAAGGAACCAAAGTACTAACAAGGCTGGGACCTAGAATGCAAATGTCAGAGATCAGATGTTAAAGAATTAGGAAAATCACTTCAGGCTTGTCAGTTACCAAAAGAGATCAGTTGGTTTACATTGTAATTGAGCACCCTTTCCTCCACATTTGGAGGAGTACAGAGTGAAAGCAGAGAGAAGCAACAGAGTATTTTCCAGGGGAAAGCTGATGGTAGATAAGGCTAGAATGAGAGCCGTAAGAATAAAGAAAGGCAGTTGAGAGGCAGCAAAGTCAGCAGGTCTCC